TATCAGAGAAGCTACTATCACACTACCATGGCCCCTACAAAGTGTTGCGACAACTTAGTGACGTGAGCTACGAGATCGCACCCCTAAACAATGCCTCTTCGACCCCCTCACTCCAGACAGACGTTGTACACGTGTCCAGACTCAAACCGTATCACCCTCCTCGTTCGTCGCCGCCGTACTAAGCATCGTGACGGCGCTTCCGCCGAAGGGGAGTGATGTTACGGTGCATCATCGACAGGAGCAAGTGTGGCACTTTGCGAAGATGAAGAAGACGCCTGTGCGTTAGGCGCTTGCGCGAGAGGCAACTCGGACATCTTGTTCGGCTGCCGATTCTCGGTGGACGCTATCCTATAAGCCTAGACCTCGCCCCGTCACAATATGTTGACTACTTTCTAGGGATGTTGAACATAGAGAGTAACTGTTCACCCACTTCAGTAGTAAACAACGTTTTGGATTGTTTCAAGCAATGCACAACTTTATTATTATTCACCTATGAACAACCACCTAGAGATGCCTTGCATTTTTTAGGTCCTCACATTGATTCCAATCAAGTTGGCCACGTCTGCTGGGAGTTTTCCCTGCGATGTAAGAAGGACCTTTTACCCTTTGACTCTTCTCAGAACAAGGTAGCAAATGGACGATAGCTAACTTCTGCCTTAATTCCTCACTCAGCAAATTATGTTCGCATAAAATCGAACGCAGTTTCTGGAATCAAGTAAGATGACTACTCAATTCGGTTAACCCAGACAGTTTGCTTGTGGCAGTAGGCAGTACCATGTTAAAGAAGTCAAAGAGGTTAAGTGCCACCAATATGCAGGAAAAAAGGCCAACAAAAACGGTTGTAGCCATGCCCTATCAGGGTGTCTACGAACCTGGAAAACCTGAAAAAGTCTGGGAATTCCTGAAAAACCTGGCCAGGTCATAGAAACTGACAGCAGTTCTGAGCAAGTGTCACAAAAATAAGCATTACAATTGAGCAAAGCTTAAAAAGTCTCTCTCTCAGCTGCAACTACAGTGAGCTGCTAGAAGACGTGTGAAAAAAAAAAAAAAGACATTGCATAACTCTTGCTTCTGAAGTATGCAATGTCACCACCCCATAGAACAGAAACTTTACTGACATTTCAGTACCCGATATGAGGGGGAGCCTTGTTCCAATAAAAACCAGAAAAAGGCACATCGTACTTAAATACGCCTAAATACGTGACATGAGCAGCGAGAGTACATTGTCAGAAGCGTCCCATCACTTCCGATCAGCGTATGCACAGGCATCTGTATCTGGATTCTAGGAACAGGTATGATGCAAGCTTCTTTTAAATGGGGAGCATTTTATAGTCACACCTGCTTGCAAATCCAACGTCGGCGGTGGTGTCTGCAACCCTACTGCACATGCTCGTGCCAACTGTCGCTACCCCCACTCTCTCGCCTTTCAAGGTAGACGCAGGCAGCGTCTGCTAGTAAAAACTGACTGCTCGCGCTGCACAACCATTCACTGACCACCCTGTATATGTAGGCACTGGATCAGGTGTTCGAAATTCAGTCAAGGGCGTCTTTACTTGGCTTTCGCTTGACTTGACGCTTTGCTTGACTCGAGTAGATAAGATGGAAGCAACAGTACCTTCAACTAGTACTGGGACACAGCCCACCTGTGTCCCACCACTTCTTGAAGGCAACGCTTCCCCTTCATTCAATAAATACGAATAACAATTAAGCATTCCTAAACCTTACCCAATTATGTAACATTCACGCAATACCCTCACCACTCTGTGACGCATTTACTCAAGTCCCTCCCCCCCCGTGGGAAGATGCAGGTTTTTTCTTTGTACAGAACACACGAGTTTTACAAGTCTATTTGGTGGTCTGTAGATTCCGCGTGTTCAGCGAGCGCAGTAGAGACCACGCGTCGTTTCGTGGCATCATATTTGCGTTGTTTAACTCTTTTATTGAAATCACGAGTTTCACCGATGTACTGGTTGTCACAATTGTGGCAGCCTATGGCATAAACAAGACTAAAAAAATTTCTGCTCGGAAACTTGTCCTTCACATTACTTAAGCATTCCTTAGCTTCCATGTTGGTACATTCGCTATTTTGATGTCTGTTGCTTCTACATATCATACGGCACATCTGACTTTTGAACCACAAATTTACTCATGTCTGTAAATTTATGTATGTTTGTCTACGCCACGATTTCAGCTCGTCTTGAAGGCCGTCTGGTTTGTTTAGGCTAGAACTGCCATCAGTAGAAGCTTGCCACCCTACTTGTGTTTATTATTATTATTATTATATTAATATTATATTATTATTATTGGTGATGCAACAGCAAACGTCCTCAGCTAACACTTATTGCTGGTAGCTCGTGTTCCAAGGGTAGCACTGGGTAACTTCAGCTGAATTTTTCAGTTTCTTGAGATTGTGTAAATAAATCTGCAATTATTTTTAGCGTCATGTCCACAGCAGATTACGTAAATAAAAGTAACGTGCCGATGTTTGCGATTCATCTGTGGAATCAAGGAAACTGTTGCTTGACATATTTCTTCTTGTCACCACATATTTAAATTTCAGCCCCTTATATCCTCGGCTTTCATTGCAGCCGTCCGAAAACTTTCGTTGCACTTCAAGTATCAGAGCCCAGAAACATAAAATACAAGCATGCATGTGCTCGACTCAAAAAGAAAAAAAAGAAAGAAAACTTTGCAGTACGGCTCTGATCTTGCAACGTTGTCATTACTCGTTGTCAAGGCAAGGTACACAGAATACGTGAGTAGTAGTTATTCTTTTTTTTTTTCTTTTTTCGCTGAAAAGTATATTTTAGAGGTGCGCAAATTAGGCAGCGATGAAAATCAATAGTAAATGCAGCAATCCAGATTGAATCAGATCTAATTCAATCTACATCCTAAATAGTCAAGTTAGTAAATACAGCAGTTCAGGTCATCTAATTCAATCCAATCCACATCCTAAGTGGCGTTGGCTACAGCCTTTATAGTAAATAGATTATACTCTAGTGGCAGAACCAGCCAGGCTCTCGTGTCCTCATTTTACACTGATGTTGCGAGAAGTTTCCTAGCAGCTTTGACTGCGATGTCGGACTTTCGGAGGCTCCTTCGAACTTTCATCTGCAGTTACTTTTAACTTGTGTGTTTGCGTCCTGTTTCTCCCAAACATCGAACAGCTGACTTGCTCACTGCCTGGCTCAGGGGTTTTATTTTGGCCAGATATACATCTTCTTTCGCGGTTGTTCTCGCGGCTCCCTGCAAACTGGCAAAACTGTGTCCCATGATAGAAAATCGTCGAAAGGAAAGGGTGAACAAAAGCAGTTACACACAAAAAAACACGCCACGCTGTTTGTACTGTGTACTTTAAGGGTTATGTGCGTAATACCTTTGAGCTGCGAAAAAGTGTACATCGGCAGACAGGCTAATGTTTAAATGATTCGCTCAGAGAACATGCGTCAACCTTAAAGGTTCTCGCAGGTGGCATGCTCTTGTGAATGCACTGCAGGGATTGTGGGTGCAATCCGCAGTTTGACAGCATGAGGATTCTGGGCAAATCGAAACTCAGATTGACCAGAGAAATCATGGAAGCAGGACAGATTAGGGCAAATGCAAGCGCATGTATCAGTGTTCCCTCGGTTGTGCTAAGTAAAAAAAAAAGAGGTGTGTTTTTGAGTATTTGAAGGAGATAAACATACCCTTTGTGGGGGGTGACGCCTTTTAGTGATAGTTGCAACTGCGCGTTTCAATGTTCTCGTGCAATGAATTTTTTTTCTAATAAAACTGCAGTTGTAAGTTGAGCGTCTGTCTTGCCAAGTGTTTCCTTCCTTATACCTTGTGCTCCCATATATTTCAACATTTTTAATGCTCTTCTAAGACGGGCAGAGTGCTTCCTCTCTGCTTCGACTACAGGCCTCCCGGGATGGGGTATCGGATGCTATCGCACGCGCCCTTCGAACAGCAGAGATAGGCCGGATCATTTGATTTTTGTTGCTTCATCCGCATTTGTTGCCCCCACTCACGGATAGAACATACATTGCACAGGAGTATATTGTCAATTTGAAATTTATACGGAACATGATGGCAACGGCGAAAATTCGTCGGGAGTGTCCATATAATTTCTTTCTCAATCATGAGGCTATTGCATAATTTAGCTGTGTGTTTTAAAGAATCCAGAATTGAACATATGCAGCTCCACAGGGGCTTTGAATGGGGCTAAATCTGCTCTGAATATTCTTACTGCTCTATACTTGCTCGAAAAGGCCCTTTTGGCTGCTCCAAGTCGGCTCCAAAACGTCTTTCTGTCTGCTCCAAGCCTGCTACAAAAAGCAATTTTGCTAGCTCTCAGGACTGCTCCCAAACTCATGTACCCTGTTCCACCCCTGCTGTTTCTTAAGCTTTACACTTGAATGTGAAATTCTCCCCCCCTTTTTTTATTCTTCATTACAACATAGATTGGTTTTTAGCCATTCACCTACTTATGTTGTATCGTAATCAAGTTTTACATGCAAATACATTATTAATATTGTTTTGCATTTCAAGATATTGTCATGGGGGTCTGATGCTTTCTTGTTCCCGATTGTGAAACAGTATTTTTAGTGATACTTATGGACACTGATCCTAACTTTCTAATTGTTCTGTAAAGTATTTATTCATTGAGATAAACTGTGTTATAAAGATTGTTGCAAATTATTGACCTGCGAGAGTTATCCATGGAACAGCAATCATTTTGTTCTTGTAATCCATATAAAAGAAATGCAAAGGTCATAAAACAGTATGACTCCTTTGAACTCAAGCTTGCTTATCCTACACACGTTTAAGTAACTATTTTTTTACGCACTTCCCTTTATCTGTGTTAACCACTTGAAAATGAACCTTATGCGGCACATTTGCCACTTCACCAGCTGCATAAAGCACATGTTGCAATTTTTTAGATATAATAGTAGAGTTTTTTATAATATAAATATACTATTCTCTAAAATATTTTGATAAACATTTTTTTTTTATTTCAGGTCCCGAGTCGGTGGAGTGCCTTTGTTGACCGCCTCATGCACTCTGCAGAAGATGATTGTTTCCAGATTTATATTAGTGACATGAATTCTCTACTTGAAAAACATGACAATGGTCCCATTCATGATGACCTCTTGATGGTATGTACAAAGTATGAACAATTAATCACTTTTCATGAAGAACATACCTTCTTGCTAAGATACTAAAGCCTCGTGGCTGTTACAAAAACAGTTAGCCTGCTATTGGCTTTTTTGGGAGGAAGAGGGGGAGGGGCATTGTGTTTTGTGCTGACTAAAATACATGTTACATAGTAATGGAATTCTGACAATGCTTCTCACCAGGCCTCATCTCACCAGGCCTCATCTCACCAGGTTCTCACCAGGTTTAAGAAGGTGACAGAACACTGCATAGTAGTGGGAACCACTACATTGCCAAGTGGCTCTGCATAAAACCTTATCTGTAATGTAGCTAAATGCACCTTTTAAAAGTTATTTTTAATGTACTTTCTTTGTTTGAGATGTGTATTAAGTGATCATGACATAAATTCCATATATATTTAGCGGACTAAGAGAAGCGAGTGTTCCAATTTGAAAAGCACTAATAATTAGCACGTTAAATAGGAGCCATTAAAAAACAAAGGACTCTTCAACAAGCATTCAGTTTGAATGGAACGATGAATGCATTGGGGAATGATGATAAGCTATGATAAAGATTATGATGAGCTTATTTACATAGAGCTGGGGCCGAGAAAATGGGTCTTTATTGATGATAATGATGGTGATGAAAGTGTTGAACATGGGTATTAAGGCATTGATGATATTCACAATAAACGATAAGGATAACGATAAAAGTGTTGAATCAGAGTTGTTAGTTAGGAACCACATAAACATGCATGATGCTTCTGATGCTGATATTATTAATGAACGCAAACTGATGATGAGGACATTGATTATGGCAGTGATGACGATAATGATTACAGAGCCGTTCGTAAGCAAATGTCTCATGTACGATAAAGAAGGGTAATGGACCCAGTGCAGCTCCATTTCTCTGTGTCCACATATGTGGACGCTTGTTTTCTTGATGCTAATGTTTCCACGTTCACACTTTATTTTTATTTTTGTATGTATTTAATTGCATATACAAAAAAATTACTTGTGCAATAGGATTGGCCATGAAATTTGAAGGGCTGCCTCCGTGAGCGGAGAGGCAGCCCTTTGTCTTTTGTGACTGGAGAGGCAATCTTGCGCTGCCTATACACTCGTGCTAGAGGCGATGCCTGCAGCGCATTGTCTGCTGCCAACAAATCGAGCGTGGTGTGCCAAGAAAGCGCGAGCTGCAGGCAGCAGCCGTTGCATGAGCACAAAGGCAGCGTAATCTAACAGCACTCGTCCACCAGCCATGACTAGTTGTTTTGTTTGCCACTAGATGACCCAAAAAACGGGCGTGCTTTCTTAAGCTGCCTGTTGGATAAGTTGCAGGCAACCGCCACAGAGCACAAACCGTGCACTTGCGCGTTCTGTTTCATAAATGACGACAGTGTACATCTTTTAACAAATGGATGGCTTACGTGGAAAGATTTTTTTTTTTTAGACTCTGTAAAGATGGATACACCTTAGGCAGCTCTGCTGCATCACAGCAATGTAAAGCACTGAAATACCTGCTGTGGCTTTGGAAATGATACTGAACTGAAGGCATTTTTCAAGACATTTGACTGTTTTTCATGAATGAACAGAATAGCTGGCATAACGAACCCAACCTCACCACCCCTTGGGTCCGTTCGAATTACATTTAGTATTTTAAATAGTCACATGGGCACATCTTCACATCACGAAAACATTACATCAGCAGCTCACAAGACTCACTGCTGTAGTAACTTTGGACCTGCATGCAGTTCAAGCTGAGTAAGCCTTATTTATTCTCACAAATACACTACAGTAGACATGGTGTTGGGGTTGGTTCCTTAAGCTTGAAACACTTTCGAATCTAATAGCATTAGCATCTGCACGGTCAACTGTTAAGTATTGTACAACAATTAGCTTTTTATAATAAATAAGCTATCACTTCATTTTATTATACCCCTCAGAGCCAGAGGCATTACAGAGGGGGAGTTGTAAAAACATATACATACAAAAAATAGGAAAAAAACAAAATATGCAAGCAAAATGAAACGTACAGTAAGTTAGAGCCTGAGTATACAATTTTACCTACAAATTTACGGAAATGTTCATAATTCCTAATGTTTACAACGTCTGTGGGAAAGCCATTTCCATCGTGAGAGCTTTTTGGTAGAAATGATTGAGGAAAGAAAGTACACAGCACTACATGAAGCAAATTTGACTTTGTGACGACAGTCAGTTTAATGGGATACATAAGATGGCTGAGTAATGAGATGATTGCATAGTGAAGGATCGTGATACATTTTATGGAACAAGGCAATGCATGACACTTTTCTGTGCAATGATAATGATGGGGGGGGAAGGTCAGATTTCGTACAAGTTGTACTGGTGGTGTGGCTAATTAGCAGGAATAAAATGTGCAGAGTTTTTCTCAACCATCTCTAGAGCAGTAATTAGGTTGATATAGCTAGGGGCTCACATTCGTGTAGTATCCACCAATTTCGACCGGGTTAGTATTTTATGAAGCAAGGCTTTCAAGGAGGTTGGAACGTGATACAAATTTTGTTAAAGATAGCCTAACATGCATTTATCTTTGCTAATTGAGTGCTCAATATTAATAGGCTAGTTTAGGTTTAGAGTAATGCAAACACTGACGTATTTACATGTATATGAAGTTCCTGATTCTAAATGATTGTTATGAATGTGGTATGGTGGTGGGCAGGAACATTTTGTGAAAACATGCATGACTTAATAAATATTTAGTTGCATTGGCCCCGCCGCGGTGGTCTAGTGCCTAAGGTACTCGGCTGCTGACCCGCAGGTCGCGGGATCGAATCCTGGCTGCGGCGGTTGCATTTTCGATGGAGGCGGAAATGTTGTAGGCCCGTGTGCTCAGATTTGGGTGCACATTAAAGATCCCCAGTTGGTCGAAATTTCCTGAGCCCTCCACTGTGGTGTCTCTCATAATCATATGGTGGTTTTGTGACGTTAAACCCCACATATCAATCAACCAATCAATCAATTTAGTTGCATTAACCACTCATTACACCAATTTGTGATTGTGCCAAAATTCAACTGAAGTAAGAGAAAATCATTAGATCTGGTTATCTGCCTAAAAACAACACAGTCGTCCACAAATAGGAGAATATTAGAGTTTGCAACGAAAAATAGTGGCATGCAATTTTCGATAGACACCTGGCTGGCCTTATTTGCAGCATAGCTGTGTTGATGGCAGCACAAGCCGTGTTTCTTGCATACTGCATGACTTTCTAACTAAGCGAAGATTGTTGACCAAACTTGAAGAATAACTTACCTTTTCTGATTGTATTCTACATCCAGTGTCTGTTACAGAAGAGATTATTTAATAGTAGAGATAAGGTGGCCAACTATGGGGGTGAATTGTGTCTAATGCAGCCAAACCCCTTTATTTATAAGAGACACTGATATAAGAGACAGATGGGTATAAGAGACACCTGTGTGCCTACAGTAAAATACGGGTAGATAAAACGATCCATACGAGGTACCCTGCTTATAAAATATATCTTGTATAGAAGACAGGAATTGCTGCCCAGAGCATGTCTTTTATAAAGGGGTTTAACTTATACCCAATTGTCGGTTGCACCACTGCCTGCTATAATGGTGTTGAACTGTTCTCACAGTAACCTGGCCAGTCATGCCATGCGGACATTTAGTGCACTGAATACATTTTTACCCTTCACTGGCAATAACTTCAAAGTAAGCTTCTGGCTACTGATATATATATATATATATATATATATATATATATATATATATATATATATATATATATATATATATATATATAGTAGTGGCCCTAATATGGTCCTCTATGGTACACCTCTATGCATTGTTGTTCTGACTTGTTTTCTGTTTTTTAAGCAGCTGATGACTTATAATGGTCATGGTCAGGTACCACTTATTGTAGTGGTTTTATGTTCATGAAAATATTTGTTATTTAAACTATCAAATTTACCTTCATCTGTTTAAGCTATCAGTGATAGATTGGTTCAATAGCCTAAATTGATAAGGTGAAAGCTATCAGCTAAACTTATTGGGGCAAAGAATACTAAAATAACTGAAATATTTACTTAAATGCTTGTTATGAAGATTTTATTTTACATTATTAAAGAAAAAAATAGAATTGTGCCTGTTATTCTCTAAACTTTCAAAATAACTTTTTATTAACTGAGTTTACATTGAAAAACACTTTTTTTAAGTGGTGTTAGCTTAGTGATAACAAAGAAAATGTTGGCTATATGATGTGCAATCATTTTATAATGTAAAAGATAATATCATTCAAGCCAGCACTTACTTGAAGTTTGTTTTGTTTTGCCACACAAAGTACCAAAATAGTTGCACTTGAGACGAGCTTGAAGAGTCCTAATAAGGATGATTTCTTCATCAGTTGGGGTTAGATTTAAAAAAAAAAGATTAATTCAGTAGACAGTCAAAATACACATTACAGCAGGATGCAGAGTTTGAAGCATCAGTGAAAAGTGCGCCAGAAAGACGTCAGCTTTTTTAACTATGTTACAGTATACCTACAGTGAATCATTCTCAATAAGTAACCAAAGAAATGAATGCATTATCTGATACGATGAAAAAAAAAACCTGCATTGTTCAAGCTGCAGTGTTCATATTTCTTTTGGTAATCTGAACACTATAACATCTCATTTGGTGGAGCTGCTGGGTATGAAATGCCTTACAATGGAACTCTTGCCATTCTAGGGATGTCCATTGCCTGTGTTTGTACTTATGGCCATCCTACATCAGTGCATCTTGCTGTCATTAAAAAGTGTTCTCATTATGTATTCCTCAGCTTGAATTTTGATCAGGCTATTCTGTACTCGGTGATCGTGAGACAGGTGCTCATCAGCTTCCATTGCCACATATTTCTCACTTTCCAGCCGACTTACCTCCATGTTTATGCTTTCATCACTGACTTCCGAATAAATTGATGTTTAATTACTCACAAATAAGGTTAATTATGGAAAAAGGTGCAAGTGGGCATACAAGTATATCCTTCTCTTTCTTGCAATAGAACATCAAGCACCTTGCAATAAAGTTGTGTAATTTGATACATTTACAGAGAGTCCATCATAATTCACACCTGAAAGGCATAATCACAATTTATCTCTACATTTGGGAACTTCTATCAGAGAGCCAGTGTTGATCTAGAGCTTTCCTTTCACAAGCACAGTGATTTACCCTTGCTGCTTTCTGCATTGTAAAACCTTGAGATCGGCAACATGTCAAACTGCAGTCTTGTGTGCCTGGGCAAAGCATCGTGCATCGGTACAATGAGCATTGCCATGATCTGCATATTTGCGGTCATCAGTTTATGGCAGAAGACTACAACTACAATTCCTGTATTTATGTTTGCCAACGGTTGCTGTCGAAGGGTTTGTTTGCCCTGCAAAATTCTTCGCGTTTTTCAAGTTATCAAGTTACCTAAGGAAAGAATGTGAGTGGCCTGGAGCAACTCGAAGGCTTTAACTGGCTCTAGAGTTGTGGGGTTTTTGGCAGTGCCTGATGGTTCAAAGATAAACCAGACTAGAAGAGTTGTAGTCTTCTACATGCCAACAAATGATTGCAGAAGACATAGTGTAGCCCTGACTGTTTAGCCGGGGGGGGGGGGGGGGGGGAGTTGACAATTAAAAGCACGATTTGGAAAGAGAATAGGCTATTCATAAGTGGTATACTGCACGGTTGGGTTTATGTATGCATGTTTGTGTTGCATGTGTAGGTCATAACACCTACACATGACAAAGATAAAAAGCTCTAGTTGAAGTGCTCTTCTTCTATGTATATATCACTAATGGTACATGTATCAGCTTGGCTAACAGTTTGACTAATGGAGACAAAAAAAAAAAAAAAAGAAAGAGAGACTTAATGTGTTTTTGATGTATTATGTCTACAATCTTTAGACAGCAATAGTAGGCTATGCAAGAGCTATTTGACTGTCAAGTTATGAAACCTTAAAGAACTGTAACAGTTGTGCCGGGCTGGATTATAACTGGAGAAGAAAAAAAAAAGCTTGCTGTTTTTATTGTTTGATTGTAAGCTTCTGCTACTGCTTGGGCTGCTGATACCGAAAATTCATTTGGTCATGGTGAATAAAGCTGTCTATTTGCAGAATGTTTTATACACTTCGTTTTTGCTACTTGTGTTTCTTTCCTTCTCTCCCCATTTTCTTTTTGCTGGGACTTTGACCATTTTTAATGTTTTTTCTTCCTTGTGCTTTTAGGCCCAGCATACAGAAGCAAAAAATATGACATTCACGCTACTTCGACAGTTACTACATGGGTAAAAATTTATTTTTTACTTCAGTTACTCATATGTACTGTTGTGGCTTTATTTTTGGCCTTTCTTTGTAAGCTGCTGTTACTCTTTTGCCTTTAGAATTTTTGAAGCAAGTTATAGTTTTTGTTTTTTAAGTATATCATATCAGTTAAAACTTTGTACACAAAGTTTTAACTGATATGATATACTTAAAAATAAAAAAATAAAACCTTTCTTTATAAAATTCCCAATGTAACAGTGAAATTTCTTTTCCCCAGCAAGTGCCCATGATGTTCAATGTTTTTATGAACTTTTAATGAAGCTGTCACGCTCCCGGTTTGGCCCATATCGAGTTCGTCATAAAGTACGTGAACCGACCGCATGCAGTCGCTCGTTAAATAATGTGCATTGCGATCGGCTGTGGCTGCCAATTTCGTCTTCATGTAGCATTGCCACGTTTTCGTGTGTAGACCCCGACGGCTGATGCCCATCAATGAGAACACATCATTCAGCACAGTCTGTCTGTTCCTCATTGCCTGCATGGCACGCGTCACCAAAGCCAAAACGTTTACAGCAAAAAGGTTCATATGTTCATCACTATGAACGCGCGGCGAGCTCCACAACGATACGGTCTTCCCACAGGTGGAACACACAAAACGCAACTACACGGCGAGTCCGAATTCCCGGTCGTCTTGGACAATTTGAAGTTCCCTGTTGCATGTCTTGCACTTTGCGAATGCCAACAAAACACTGTTCACTGTGTCTAAATCTACAATTGTGAACATGGTTCCATCAAGTGGACGAGCTGCCTCGTTGGTATTGTCATCATGAATGCGCGTTTCCTCTCCGTTGCTGCAGCGAACGACTACTGCGATAACTTTTCTTCGGCTTACGCTTGCGCCTTTTCTAAGTCAGATTGTTGCCGATAGATGGTATTTTGACGCACGTGATCGCTGCTCGAAGGGTGGGTGGCTGACGGACTTTGCACAGGCTCCGCAACAGCTGATGCGGCCGCTGCCTTCTGTGGTAGCATCGACAACTTCATCGGATGTGGAGAGCGTAGCACCTTGGGGGTCTTGCGGTATCACAAAGTGTTCCGTGAAATTTGCAACTGGCGTCCGTTGCACCTTTTTTGCACGAAACTTGTAGCACGTGTGGAATTTATGCTCAGGATTTGACATTGTGAATAGCTCCGTCGCTGACACTGAGGCGAAATGGTGTGTGTCCATGCACGCCTCAAAGCTCGGAGCACACGATAGCCAGGAGATTCCACCAATGGGGAAGCAAGTTCAAGTCACGTGCGCCAAGTAGCAAATAGGAGGGCACCCCTATACCTCTCTATCCCACGCATGTTCTAAGCTGCCAATGGCTGAATCTGGCCCTTCCTCGCGAGAATTTGAAGGCGAAAGGCGGCTCTTTCAGATGAGACCAAGATGGCTGCTTTGGCAAACATGGAAGGGCAGAGGCCTGTCGCGGAAAATGTGCTATTTCAGCTAGAGCGCGCTGTATAAAGGGTCTTTGCGGCCAAAATGCTGATATTAACGGCTTGAAATTCACATAAGTGCACTAGTAGCTGCAGATTTCAAAAAACACGATAAAAAAAGTGAGTTTTTTCACAATTTTTTTGTTTCCACAAGCTGTGACCCCCCTTAATGGTTTTTGCAAAAGATGGCATTCATCATCTCACAACATTCTTGCTGTGCCTGTTAATACAGCCGCTGCATTCTTGTTCCCTGGCCATCTTTGCACGACAACAGCTTGTGGTAGCTTCACATGACTGTCTACTTTGCCTGTATCACCCCGTTACGTAAGGCAGAATGTCTGGGCTGCCCTCACGGACTTTCCAAAAATGCAAGCATGTGTTACTGGCAAATAAAATGCCATGGTAGCTTTCAGATGCCACTACTTCACAATTTTATATTTGTGAGGAACGAAAAAGTTTTTTTGATATTACAAGTGTCCCAATTTAACGAAAAATCTAGCTTGATTAAATAAAGTTTCAACTTTACATTTTGTTTTTGTGCCACTCCTTCAAACAAATTAGATTTTGCATGGGCTACTTGACTTTTAATTATGAAGTGCTCTTGAACAATAACATTTTCTTATCCTTTTGTTAAGTCTTCCAGATGCCGTGAGCACTGCTAGTCACCAGTTAACAAAAAAGTTGGACAATGACTTAGCTTTACGAAGAGAAATGAACTCCAAAAGAATTAAACTCTTCTGTACACGTGTGCAAAATGAGTGTCTGGTAAGAAAGTATTTTTACTGTTTTTTTAAACAATGCTTTCTTCCTGTTGCCATTGATAATCAGTAGCAGTTCATTCAGAATTTCCTTGAATTCATGAGCGTTGGCCGATGAGTTAGCAGGTTGAAGATAAAATCTAACCAGTGCTTCTGAGTAGCCAGTCTACTCTTTGTTTTGTGTTGTGAAACATAGCTGTTTTCATTTAGCCGAATAGCTCATAAACTTACTTTTGTTATATGGATGGAGCTGGTGCATATGTGTCCTAAACATTAAGTTAGTCACTGACCGCTGGAATTATTCAAAGGACCCTAAAAGGGTCCTGAAGAATGCCCAGGTGCCAAAAGGTAAAATTAACTCATCAGAAGAGGCAAATATACACACGCGGTTGCGCAGGCACAGTGTTTTATTTTCAGTTTTTCAGACAATACATATTTTTTTTTATAAGAATTCAATGACAGTCAGGCTCCCGTTTTTGAAGATGCACTCAATGTTGAAGCGGAAATATTTTCTCGCAGCTAAAATGATGGACGTTTAGCATTAGCAAAAACTAACTAAGGAACATTTTGATTGTTGACTTGAGTGCTGTTCTCAAAATTCGGTAATGAATATTTGTAACTACGTGCGACTTCTGCGATTTCTAAAAAATAGGTAAGCCATAAATTTGTATGCACAGTGACCTTGTAAGATAAAAACCTGCCTTCAACTCGGCAATGAACAAGTTAATTATCGAGTTTTTGTTAATGAGTCACAACTGCATCATTTTTACTAGGACAAAGTATTTCCCATTGACGTGGAGTTCGTGTGTGATGACAGGATCCTAACTGTCATAGGATATTTATAAAAAACCTGTATTATCCAAAATATAAAAAAAACACCTGATGTGCATGTGGACGTGTGTGTGTGTGTTGGAGAGAGAGATACACACACATGTAATTCACCTTTATGGTTCTATTGATTGTGTTTGTTGTTCAAAAAACCTGTTGTTGTATTTTGTGCAATTTCTTTTTCATCTTCAACTTTCTTTAACATGTTCATTGTTGCTTTTGTGTCCTTCCTGCGATAATTCCTAATGGCCATTTTTTTCATGATGCCATGGTACATGCGCCCATCTCCTAATGAAAATGCCCACTTGAGAAATGTGTATGTTAAGAAAAGATTGCTAGCCTTTCTTATCTGGGAATTAGGAAACATCCATTCATCGAGAAGCCTAAAAACACTCGCACATCTGGTTTTAATTAACCTGAATCGCTCTGTGAGCTGATATCTCGGTACTTGTATTAGCTGGAAATACAGTCAAACCAACTTTTACAATATTCAAGAGCCATAAAAATTTTGTTGCTACAACCAAAATTTCTTATGAGTAGGTCGCATGAAAAAAAAAAAGCAAAATAGGGGAATAGTGAGCCCTGTTTGTTGATAGTTCGTGCTTTATCACAAAGTCTTAATATCTTAGCTGTTCACAATAGTGCTCTTCTCTTCCAAGTCTACAGGAGTGCCTTTTCTTTTTGCTGGAAACGTCGGGCAATTTCCAATGATCAGCAGATGAATCAGCCATATTTTGTTTTGGTTGGGGCCAGGAAGGATTTCATGCCACCAACACAGTTAGCCCAGAGGACCTAATCCTTTGGCTGAACTTAATTTGCTGGCATAACTGTGCAAAATGAGAGGGCAGGCAGTCCAGTTGGGGCTATTCATTGATGTTTTGAAGGGTGGCGAGTGGCGCTGAGTCACCTATTCTTGCTTGTATGAGTGCAAGGGCGATGGGAGAGCTGGTAGTGGCATAAGGGCTGCCATCAGTGTAGCACACATGCCTCCAAAACAGGAACAAATGCTTGTTCTTCGTTCCTCCACAAATTAGAAAAAAAGTTCCTCTGCTACATGTTCTTTTAATGCAAAAGGAATGCATTCCCATTCTGAGCACTTGTCTGTCCCTTTAAAACCGGTATCTTTATGAGTTGGTTCAACTGCAGATTTTTTTAATGCCCAATTCATTTCCGATACCCATAAGTGATGCTGTATGACTGAGAGTAATCAAAACATTGAATGTGAAAATTTACTAAATGTACTATGTTTTTCTACTGCCTTAATGGTTGCACCTTAGCTGTAGCTTCCAATTATACCGTTTAAAGTTGGTCACTGTACGCTGGAATTCCAATCAACCACCATAGTCCTTTTTGCTGACAGCAGTTTTTTGTTGCCACCATAACAGCCACACTGATTGTCCACTGGCATTTTGCGACCCAATTACCCCCTTACCATATAGTAGCCAGAAGCTTTTCATGGCACTTAGTGCATTTAGGCTGTGTAAACTTGAGAATACAATTATGAAAAACTTGACTGTTAGATGACATAAAATGTTTTCAGAGCTTCGATTTCTCTACTCTGTTTTTTTTTTCTTCTTTTTCTCTTACTTTTTTGGGGGGGCGGGGTGTGCTAAAGCACTCGATTGTTTAGGATTATGCATTGAAGTTTTTTCTTTTTTTTCAATATTTGTAAACTAACATATTTTCATGCAGCTGGATGCTGAAGGCCGTTTGAAAAGTATCCCTCTACCAACCACAAGTGCCGCTCTTGAATCAATCACAAGTCGCTACATTGACAGCGTGCTGGAAGCATTTGCTAAACAAATATCAGCACTTTTGCCTGAGGAAGGCATTGCCAACTACACAAACTTATTGATGGTATGTGTCTATATACTTGTGACATTACAAAGTTAAAATGATGTGGCGATGCCAAATGGTGGATGTAAAACTTGCAGATTCATTGTTGCTATGTGGAACAACTGGTGATACCTTTTTATTGCTGATAATTATCCAGAGATAAGTACAGCTTAAGTAGCACACCATTTCTGGACTAGTGGTCTAAAAAATATTTAATGAATATAATAAAGTGGGGAGGTTGTTAAATTCACCCATTGGCAATATTGTTGACAGTGTTGACTGAAGCACCTTGTTGATGATGCTGGCTTCCATGCTCAACACTTTTGCTAGAAGGGCACTTTTCAAACAACAGGGAATAGAGTTCTGAACAGATAGAGTTTTGCAAAAGCACACTCTTCAAATTGTTGTTAAGGCTTTCTATAGATTGCATGAAATGTAGTATTTTGATGCCTGCATACAGCTATTAGACACTTCACAGGAGAAAAATAGTTTTAGATAATTGTACACTTTGGGACAAACCTGTGAAAATAGTTTCATGTTTTTTTGTGTCCATTTTTTTGTATGAAATTTCCTCGAGGTGCGATAACTTGTACATTTTTACAGCGGCCTTAAGGGTTGCAAAGCATCAAGACGTTTTCAAAGACTCTTTGCTTTTGAAAGAATTGATTTAACTATCTTTTTTCATCATTTTTTAATTCTCTCATTGATTTCAAATGGCCCTCACTTGCCCAAAAAATTTTCTCCGTACAATCCGTATGTCTAATACGTATATATACGTGTAATACTTTTGTTATTTTTTAGAGAGATGAATCTCATTGGAGCATCTTCATGCATTTAGAATATAAATGCATGAAGACTAAGGCTTTGGTTTGTATTGAGCAAATAATCTGTGAATTTGCTAGTGAAGATCTATTATGACACTTCAGTTTAGCAGAAATTCGAAGCGTGGAGGAAGTTTTAGGAAAGGGGAAAATTGTCATCTCCTTGACATCACCAGATTATCATGTCTTCCAGTGCTTAGTATTTCCCTGCATTTTTGCAACCTCTTTGTTAGCTCAGATACAGTAGACTCAATTTAAGACGAATTCGAAGGGATCGTGATCATTTGTTTGTCTAATCAGGAGTTTGTCTTATCAGAAGTGCCCTCAAAAACCAAATGCTAACATGTGAAGTGCACCCAAATATGTGGCTTGAAAACACTAAATGGAGTATACTTACAATGGGGAGGACAGGAACAAGAGAAAGTATTTATTTGGCTCAGCTTGGTAAAAACCATGCTTTCAAGTAGAGTATTTATTTACACTAATCTAAAGAGTACTTGATTTTTAGAGTTTGTAATAAATATGCTCATGTATAAATTGCTGCCACATTTTAACAATACAACAGTAGCACAACCATTTTTTCATAATTACAAAAAGATAAAAAGGGAGAGACAAGCACAATTTTCTTTCAAGAATAGAAAATTCACTCTTCTGGCTGTTCACCTTCTGAGAGGCTGTTTTACTGGCTTTGCTATCACTTTTGGATAAGCCTCCATTGCATATCGCTACCTTGACAAGCAAATATACGCCAAGTTGCTTATGAAAGTCTGCAAGCTTTTTCTTGAGGTTCTGATATTTTCTTATTTTCAGCCCAAAGTAACTGTTCCTGAATGATGTGCACCCGAAGATCTCTGTTTACGCTACTCACAATATAAAAACCCAGGCACTCAGAAAAGACATGACGCAGCTCTACTTAGTGTGAAAAATGACCTTCCTTTGTCATGAACTTTCCTAATGAAAGTGGTGCATCACAATTTGCTGCATTTCACTGAGAACAGGTACGACGTGCACAGGTCCCATGCAAAACATCGCAAACTGACCACAACATGTGCTCAGGAGCCATTGTGTGACGGTGATGACAATGCATCTGACTCCTCTGACGGGAGTGCTAGTGCCGCATATGTGGTTTTGGCTTCATGTGATTATAATACACAGACAATATTTGTTCCCGTTTTCACTTTCATTTGGCTGTTTTTTTTTGCCCCCCTTTCCTTGCATTTTTCACTCCAGCCAAGCTCTTGTGTTCTTCCGTTCTCCACTGTATTCCTGTTGGGGAACTTAAGAACACGAGGAGAATGCAAAAATACGAATGTTTTTTGTTGCTTTCTTTGCTGATAAAACTGGCCCTTTCTCCACCTGCGTGCTAGGGATGAGGGTGACACCAGCTTTATGCTCGGACTTTCCTTTTCCGCTTATCTTACTTTCGATTTGCTTCAAGTCTTTGTGCCAGAAAGTTTTTTTTCTTCCCCATTTTGCTTTCTCTTGTTCACCTGAATTCCCCATCAAGGCTATAATATTCGTTGCGCAGAATCCTCGTCGTTGTCGGTTACTGCGAGAGTTTGTCTTAAAGAAGAGGCCTGTTACGCGATTCCTTTTAAGCAGATATTTTTTTTTTGCATTGAGTCTATGGGAAACCATACAAACATTCTCAAGTTGTTAGTCTTATGCAACAATTCGTTTAAACAGAGTTCGTCTGAACGAGGGTTCACTGTATAGCGATTGGCCCAGAGAGGCACTAGGGTCGAATGGGCATGAGTGGGCACCAGTGCCTAGAAGGCTGTGGCGCCCTGAGCCAAGATTAATTTTTCCTAAACATTAAAGCTGTCTAGAAGAAATGCAGAAAGGTCTCCTTTGTAGGGTCACTCTACTTTTAGCTGGATGGCTATTTTTCTCGTAATTATTTCCCCACCTTGCGTATTTTTGCCCCATTCATTTGCTATGCTACACTGTCCGCACATGAAGGGGGATGCTGCATTTACCTAACTAGTTCACAATTTGGATTGGAATGAAAAATAGACTACAAGACTATATTCATTTCAAAGTATCAACTCAATAAATATCAACAAACTGAATAAAAATGGTTCTATTTTTGCTTGAAGCTCTTCTGGAAGCTTTAGATGTGAACTTGATAAGCATATCTACGGCAATGTACAACTCCACTTTGTGACTTGACAAACTTGGGATAATTATATCAACTCAATAGATATCGACAAACTGAATAAGACTGGTTCTATTTTTGCTTGAAGCTCTTCTGGGAGCTTTAGATGTGAACTTGATAAGCATATTTACGGCAATGTACAACTCCACTTTGTGACTTCACAAACTCGTGATAATTATTTCCTGAATTCAAGCAAATATGCTCTTTCCTTTACCTCATGTTTTCTTCACCTTGCATACCATTATCACCTTTTTGCACAGATATTTTTACTCAGTAAGTCAGGTTGAGTAATGTCAAGTCAGTAAGTTAAGACTGCCAACAACCCCTTCATAGCCAAAGCTGGAAATATACATTTTATAGTACGTAGCTTTATGCTCCTCCCAGGTCAGTGACGATTCTTCCACATTGTGGCAGCGCAGCTTGCACCACGTTTTCAAGTCCTTGAATTAGCATCATGGGAACACGAACTATGCACATGTTTTTAGAATTCCTGCACATCATCTTTGGGGCTGCAAAAACTTTTTTTTTATAATTAGAGCAGTTTATGACTATTGCTAATAATGTTTTAAAAATTACAATCTGCAAATTACAAGACTGTACAGCATCTGTCCCGGAAGTTAGCTAACTTTGTTTTATTAAACTGATTCTGTTTATAACTGCTCGGGTTCATTGCCATCAAAGGACTCTAGTACCCTTTTGAGTCAATGCGCTGAATTCAGCATGTCTGTCGGGAACAGAACACATTTTAATGTTTTTTTTAAATGTTACACTGCTGGGCTATCAAATATTCTTGGTAGCATCAAGGCAATAAAGTATGCTTCAGTTTAGAGACATGAAAAGTGTGCTGCAGCAGTCCCGAGGTAATTGACATAGACCAAAAATCAAATCTATTAGCGTGCAGCCATTGTGAACGATTCTACAAGAAGCATTCCATTCAGAATAGACAGAACCATTGGATCTGCATCTAGTTTAGTCATTTTTAAATGATGAAGATCTGCGAGACTGTATTAAAGACCTTTGCAAAATGTGAAAAAATGCATCAATAGTAATTTTCTCTTATAGGGAGACAAAAACATGTGTGCATTGCCACTCCAAAGTATCTTGCATGTGCATCATCTAGACAACATTTGCTGACAATTTTGCCCCTTCCATCTGATAGTTCACTAAAGCCAGGTCAGCTAAAAGTGGAATTTGTTGCTATAGTAATACACAGCCCAATGAATTGAGAATGGCTTGTCATACGTATCTAAGAGCGTGCGTAGATCTGTTGCAAGGGGCAAGTGGCAAGGTATGAACCAGAACTACCCAGTGTGTAAGCGATTTGCTGCATTTACACACTGGGAACATCTGTGTACTATGCATGTCATAAGGAAAAAATAGTGCAGGAAATTTCAGACAGTTTACTTTACTGCTTATTGACATGAAGCTTGGGTTACTTCTGGGCACCTCATGGTGAGCACAATGCAAGATCTTGTTGAACAATTTCGGGTGGTTGTGTGGGCTAATAATGCTGCTTATTTTTACTAAAAGCTGCCCATAGTTGCTACTTTACTACATTAATGTGCATACTTTTTCTCTCATATATAGCGATCCCTGAAGTTTTTGGTAGACTCAGTACAGCTGAAGAATGAAAAGGCTATGGATAATCTTTTTGAAAACTGCATCGCCAAAGCCAAAGGTAATGCTTCTGTGCTTTTTAATTTACCTAGTCTCACTCGTCGTGGTGTCTAGTTGCTACAATGCTTAACAGCTGACTCACATGTCATGGGAATGAATCCCAGCTACAGCAGCCACATTTTGATGCATAGAAAATGCTCAAGTCCCTCGTGTTCAGATTTAGGTGCTCGTTAAAAAAGCCTCAGGTGGTCGATATTTTGGGAGCCCTCCACTACGAGCTCTCATAGTCATAGTGTGGTCTCAGGTTGTTAAATAATCTAATCCAAGTGTATCACCTAGCATATACAACTCAAAGCAAGGTGTTTATATACGATTATTGGGGCCATTGAGTAAAAGCCTCTTTGCAAATGGCGATAATATTTTGATAAAGAAGTTGATAGTACTGCTTCCATTATGTTCAAGTCCCTTGTCACTTCTTTAATACTATGCAAATATGTGCTTGGGAATGTTGATTAGTTTTTGGTTGAAAAGGACTAGCTTCAAGGGACTCACGACCAATTTTTTTTATGGCGCCTATTTTTTTTTAGTGCAACAGAAAGCTTACCGATCAGAGTGTTTAATTATAGCGGAGGAATACGAAAAACACCATGAGACATCTTTTATCACAATCTCTTGACCTGTAGCTCCTACAAAGTCTTACACATCACACATTCAGCAAACAGTCGTAGGTAAGCTCAATAGTGGTTCATTTTTGCACAATGAAGTTTGCTGTGTGTGCGTGCAAGCCGTGGGCACATTCTGCGGCTCAATCTGATTGCCCTAGTTGCCATGAAGGCATTATTGCTTCTCATGTCAACTCATTTTACTTTGTAGTAAGCATAAAAAGCAGAAATGCATAATAATAATATACAGACTGTCATATTAACCATCAGTGGTGTGCCTAAGCAACTAGCATACAATTTACAACAATCGGAATGACTCATTGGCTGTGTACTAAGTCTATCTACTAGACCATAGAGTTTCCTATAAATACACTAGAGGGAATTCTGGTGCTAGTGTCTATGGCAGCTGCAATTCACGGTGCTTCATCCATCATGGAAATGATGGGTAGTGCACAAATTTTTCTAATCTTCGTTATTTCGGCTTTGTTTGGCTTCGCATGGCCTGGAGCCACTTTTTCACGAAACGACAGTCTGCAAATGTTCAAGAGTTGGACTTCACCACCTCAATCTTTTAGGCTCACCAATTCAAATCAGGTCACGAGGTTCACAACGATCCATTCTTTTATTCTAAACAAAACCAATATAGAGCAATAAATAGAACCAGAAGCGTGTTTCAAGCCACAAGCACGCCTGGCGCGCGCACACGTGGATAAGTTGCGGCCTCCTACGGCGATCTCTGTAACGGCCAAACGCGCCATGTTCAAATCAGCCAATGGCTGGTAGATGGGCTTTATACGAGTGATTTTTGAGTGTTTTCCGTAATTTGTCGAGAGAAGAGAAAGCAATTTTCAGCTGACTTTGGTCATCTATTGTAAATTCCAGGCCACGTGCTGTGCTATAATATTTAGTTCGCGTGTTGTCGGAAGCCTCTACTACCGATCAGCAGCGTTTTCTGACCATGCTCACAAAGTGTTGCAGGGCCCCTTCAACTAATTTTTTAAATGCTTTTAATATTTCTATATCTCTAGTAAAGACAAGATATACAACAGCACTTATGTTCGCTGTAGATGTTAAAATTTGTTATAAAGAGCTCTAATTCTAGTTCTCTTTCTAGATTGCTTCAAACAATTTCTTTGTAGGTTTTAATATGTTAACCTTAAACCACACTTATTTATTGCCACATGGTGATAGACATCATGGTCACAAGAGCCTGTTAGGCCACCTGTGACTTAAAGATGTTAAGCATGTACCTTAAGAACTTTTTAATAATACTAATTATTATCTTTTTCATTTGAATAGTGTTGATTAACATAAGCAATTAGACACACTTCAAAAGTACTAACCTGAGATATGTTTTTGCTTGCATACAGCCTTCCAATTTTTTACATGTGAACCTGGCAACAAGCTGAATGGCAGGCACCTAGGCACTAAGGTGCAAAAACGGGTGAAATGCCACAGCAAGGACAACAGGACATGGGTCTTGGTTTTTAAATGAAACACAAAGTTATCCAGGGGTGATTTCACTGCAGGAGCTCAGTTTACAACTTCAAGGAGCACTAGAGATCACTTATGCGAGGAGGCACAACAACTTACTGGTCTAGCCCAGACCATTGGTACTAGCGTACATTCTTTGCATGACATTCTCAAACAGACATTCGCATGAATTTTCGCCTCCCAGATAAAATAAAACGAAGCCACGCAAGTTTGTTTGCTGCACAGGATTCGTATGGGCATCGACTTCACTCGACACTACGCGCACCTTATCGGCCACGCAGACAGGCCGGACTATGAGCGCTACCATGTGGATGAGACTTTTACACATATACAGTGCTATTGCCCTCTGTACGTGTCTACACAAAATGCACTTGCTTCACTATTGACAGGCGACAGAGACTACTTTTTTGTCAGCAATGTGCTACCAGACGAAGTCAACAACTGCTGTCAGGGCTGTGATAGATTTCTCTGAGAGTACAGGACTGGATAGCATACTTTAGAGAGACCATTATGTTATGTGTTTCTTCTATATACTCATTTTCTTTCTCCCCATCATCGTCCTTCATCGCTCTTTTTATTGCGATAGCAAATATATGGACACTCTCGGCTGGATTTTGCCACTGGCGTTGTCGTCACTCACCATATATGTATACGTATCTATATATATAAAAACGCAAGAAAGAAAAATAATTCAAAAAAAAAAAAAGACTCCAGCGTGCAGAATCGAACGTTGGACGTCTGAATTGTGAGTGCGAGGCGTTAGCCCCTGAGCCATGAAGGAGCACTTCTTTCAATGTTCAAACGGTAAGCTACTTATATTTACAACTTAGCGCTGGTGATGGACATCTCGGGTGGTGGTGGTGGTGGTGGTGGTGGTGGTGGGGGTGGTGGTGGTGGTAGTGGTAGTGGTAAACATTTATTAAAAACAGAGACGTTAGGGAAACCAGCCCCTAGTGGGTCAGCCTACCTACATTACTTGGTGGAGTCCCTAGTTAAAGACCCCATTGGCTGTGGCCTGTGTCCTGGCACGCTGGACCATGACTTGTTGGGCTGGAAGGTCCTGGCAACCAAGCAGGGCCGCCTCCCAGTCCTTTATGGTTGGATTTTGATTCTAGGGTAAAGAAGAATTCAGCTAGCATTAGCATGCACTTACAATGTGGTTGGTGTCAGCCACCTCCTCACAGTACTGGTAGAGTCCGGAAAAGGAAGAGTCAAAGTGTTTGAGCACTGCTGGTCACAGTAGCGTATTGTTATTCTCTCGTCTGCCTTCCTGAGGCTTTTGCAGGGCGGCGAAAAGCGAAGTTGGGAGTCCCGGTAATGGGTAATTATCTCTCTATAAGCTGGAAGTAACATTATCTTCTGGATCACAGGGGTCATCGGTGGTCGAGGCAATAGCCCGGGGAATGAGTCCACGGGCAGCAGCATGCGCCGCCTCATTGCTTGCGAGGCCCTGATGGCAAGGAGTCCAGATTAGGGAGCGGGGAGAGGGGTAACCTACTCGCGGACAATATTTAAGAATTTTGGTAGCTAGGGGTGAGATCCATCCCAGTTGAAAATTTCGGCAAGCTCCTTTGGAGTTTTTTGATATTTTAATTTCAGAACTGTCGTGTGATATAGCTAGAGCTATGAGCTCCTCTTCAGTATGGGTAACATTGGGTGCACGGAAAGACAGACCATCCACCTGCCTGTCTTGGTGGACTACGGTGGCCGTATACCAATTGCCGCGGTAAGGGCCGGCAATGTCCGTGTAAAATACGACGTTTTGTTTAGAGCCGAATCTGCGCCGGAGAGCAAGAGCCCATGCCTCTCGACGGTCAGTGTGCGACTCACGGGACATATTGGTGGGGAGGTGTCGAACATGGATTGCGTATTTACAATGTTCGGGCACTCGTATTCGCTCCTCTGTGTGGAATTAATTCCCAATGTGTAGGCGATCTAGGAGTCGTCTGCCTGATGGGGTCTGCGTCAGGCGCGTGTATTGATTTGTTAGGCGAGCCTCATGGAGCTCCTGGTAGGTGTTTACCACTCCCAAGGCAAGAAGTTTTGCTTTGGAAGTAGTGATCAGGGAAATCTAGGGCTCTCTTGACAATTTTGCGAAGGGTGACCTCCAAAGAATCTTCATCATGCTTCCGTAAGTGCAGGTACGGAATCGCATACAGGATGCGACTAGTGACAAAAGCATGTGCAAGACGAAGTGCATCCTTGCTTTTGAGACCTCCCCGCTTGTTCGAGGCTCGGCGAACCATGCAGCCCACCTGTTCTTCAACCTTATGCAGCTTGTGAAGTGTTGTTCCGACCCTACATTATTTGTGAATGGGGAGTCCAAGGACACCGATCTCCTGGGTCTCATTAGTAGGTCCACTGTGCAGGGAAAGGTTAATGGACGAAGTGCACTTCGGCGACGGCCGAAGGTGCACAAATTCAGACTTCTGCGGGGAACACTGGAGGCTGCAGTATGCCGCATAATCATCCACTATATGGGCTGTGGTTTGCAGGCTGTCCTCCATGCTGCCGAGTAATCCCTCTGTGCCCCACAGAGTGATGTCGTCTGCATAAAGCTCATGCATTACCTCGTCGACACCAGCCAAGCAGGCCGGGAGCTTCGCCATAGCTTAGTTGAAAAGCAGAGGCGACAACACAGCGCCCTGTGGTGTGCCTCGCGTGCCCAGCGAATAGGGGCATATTCCTGATCTTGGATGTGAATATACGAAGCTCGGTCAGTAAGAAAGTTCCGGATGTAGTTGAAGGTGCGCTCGCTACAGTTTGGCACTTAGGTGAGCTAGGATGACTTCGTGCTTGACATTATCGAAGGCTCCCATAAGGTCAAGTGCTAGAACGATCTTGTCTTTGGGGGGGTGTTCTATGGGATGAAGAACTTCGTGGTGTAGTTGTAGGAGTACGTCCT